TTATAATATGTAAGTGGTATAAAATAAATGATAAGAGATAATTATTTTTTATTATGTAATTAAGATAAAAAATGTATAATTATAATTATTAAATTATTTTATTAAAAATATTATATAATTTATATTTTTTTTAAGATGTTACAATTTTTTAAGAAAAGGGATTCAAATTCTAATTCTGAAGTTAGAGAAATATCTTACAATTAATCGTGCAGTCATCGAGACCAAGTGCAAATTATATAATTATAATTATTGGACAAAAATAACTAATTTATATAAAAATAAGTAGTTTATATGAAGAGTCTCACCCTCAATCTAATATCCCCAATGATAAATAATTTGATGCAGTACAAGTTCACTATTATTTTATTTGAAATCTTTTTACAGGGAAAAGAGAATTCACCTGCGTTAGCTATGCTTCTTTTTTTTTTTCTTTTTCTTTTATAGTCGTAAAATCGGTTTTTTAAAAACTAAATTATATTTGTTTAAAGATTTTTTTATGAGCTAAGATTTCCAGGTACAAAATTCCCAAAAATTTTAGTTCCCGTAGTTGCCGTAACAATAAAACCAGAATATCCCATACATATATATGTTGGATTTCCGCTTGAATTAATCTGTTTTTTTCTCCCTTTCTCACACACAAACGCAACTGACACAAGCAAAGTCACCGATTGATTCAGGTAAAATCTCTTGTCTTTCTTTCTCTTTTTTGATTTCTTCATCTGTCTAATCATGAAACACAAGATTCCGATTCCTTTCCTTTAGGGTTTGTATCATTCTTCTTCCGATTCTCATGCCCGGGAATACATGTACGATCCTGTTAATTTGAATTCTTGACGTTTTGATTCTATTTTCTGGTTTTGAGGTTTTGGGTAGCCAGGATACTGTTGTAGGATTCGCAAGATCGCAGCTTTTTCTTTTCTGCTAATCAATCTGCTCGATTTATTCTCTCTAGACTAGGAAGACGAAAAATTCATACTCAATTAGGTTTTAAGTGGAAGAATTAAGAATTTTTAGTTGTTATGATTCAATAGAGTTAAAAAGGAAAGGCCTTTCTTTGGTATCCTTAAATTTGGAAAATAAGGAAAAATAGGGTTATCAGCTGGTCTCAGTAGGATTCTAAGGAATGGTTTTCTGATTTATAATCCTACCCTTTTGAAATTTTTGTGTAGTGGGCAGCATTGAAGGTAGTCAACTTAGCAGCATTAATATTAATTATTTAATAATTATTAATCAGCTGTCTCCCAAATCCTTTTGCTTGTTTGTTATTGTTGTCTTATCTAATATATGTCCCATGAAATTTATGATGAAAGTGCTTTTTGGTTATTACTTTATTTGTAATTCAATATTAATCATATCATAATTATTACTATGCCTCAGGTTTTCAAGCTCTAAATTGGGTATACCTTGTTAAAACTTTGGTTGGTTGTATGCACCAATTCTATCGCCATAGTTGCTTCATGACTAGGTAATGAAGAGGTTTCGTGATAGGGATGTTGCTCGGAAATGCTCTTCTAAAACTATAATTGATACCACAAATAGATTTTCTCAAGCATCTTCTGTTTCAGAGCCAGAAGCCAGCAGCAGTAAGTTCTCCAAGAGTTCTTTGTGGTCAGGTTTTCTTGCATCTGCTTTCTCGGTGTTTGAAACATATAGTGAATCATCGGCCGGTGAAAAGAAGTCAGTTCATACTAAAACTAATGGGTGGACAGCAGCTGTAAAGAGAGTTATAGCTGTTGGTTCAATGAGGAAACTTCAAGAACGTGTTCTGGGGCCAAGCAAGACTGGCATGTCTTGCTCAACTAGTAACATATGGCTTCTAGGTGTGTGCTACAAAATTTCTTCTGATGAGTCCTCTGCAGATGCAGAAGCAGACACTGGCAATGGATTTGATGCATTCAAGCAAGATTTTTCATCAAGAATACTGATGACATATCGTAAAGGTCAGTATCATCAGGTTTATTCTTCACATGATTTGTTATGTCTTTTTCTTTCTCTCTTTCTTTTTTTCTAAATTGTTTATTTATAGGTTTTGATGCTATTGGAGACAAAAAATTTACTAGTGATGCTGGTTGGGGTTGCATGCTTCGTAGTAGCCAGATGCTAGTCGCTCAGGTATATTGGTTCTTCATTGAATCTATTGAACATTCTATCATGAGCATCTGAAATGAAAGTATTTGTTATTTTTCCATGCTTTTTCATTAAGTTAGTTAATGTAGTAGGCTGTTCATCCATACAGGCCTTGCTTTTCCATCAATTAGGGAGAGCTTGGCGAAAACCTCTGCAGAAGGTATGTTGAATTACTTTTGAGGTGGTACCTTATTCCCTTTAACTAATATCGAATCAAGCTGATAGAACCAAGTGTGTGTGTGTGTTTTTCTCTGACACTCTAATTATGCAGCCATATGACCAACAATATATCGAGATCTTGCACCAGTTTGGTGATTCTGAGGCTATGGCCTTTTCCATTCATAATCTTCTTCAAGCTGGAAAGGCTTATGGTCTTGCTGCTGGGTCATGGGTAGGTCCATATGCAATGTGTCGTTCATGGGAGGCTCTCTCTCGCTGTGAGAGGAAAGAGACAGACGTTGAACAGTTGTCACTCCCAATGGCTGTATATGTTGTTTCTGGTGATGCAGATGGGGAACGAGGCGGAGCTCCAGTTGTCTGCATTGAAGACGCTTCTAGGCATTGTTGTGAGTTTTCAAGAGGTCAAGCTGATTGGACACCTATTCTTCTGTTGGTTCCTTTGGTTCTTGGACTTGACAAACTAAATCCCAGGTTAGTAACCCTCTGAACTGGGTCTATGACTGATTCAATATACAAGGCCTTACCTTCTACAAATACCTAATTAAAGTCAGTTTTCACCTTATCATTATAATTTTGGCTCTTGTTTTTAGTAGTGATTAGCAATTTCTGCATTAGCATTAGGCAGACATGCTCTTGTTATGCAGGAAGATGAACAATGAGGTACTGGTTGTCCTGTAAAAGACATTCTAACTGTACAGATACAATATTTCTTAGTTAGAAGACCATCATTTAGAGGCTTTCTGAAGCTTCAAGGAAAGGAGTGTCCTACAGAATTAGATGTAATAAAAAAGTAGCTATCAGGACCTTTCAGATTTGCTAAATTCTCCTTCATTACTAAGCACCAGTACATTCCTGTTCAGGATTGCAGTTGTTACAGTGAATCATTACTGATGCTGATGAAATTCTCTCTCTCTCTCTCTCTCTCTCTGCTCGCAGGTATATTCCATCACTGCAAGCAACATTCACTTTTCCTCAGAGCCTTGGCATTTTGGGTGGCAAACCTAGTGCCTCAACCTACATTGTTGGTGTGCAAGATGATAATGCTTTCTTTCTTGATCCTCATAATGTTCAGTCGGTAAAGCATAGATCTTATTGATTAACTTAGCAGTATTTTCCCATAATTTTGATGGACTGATATCATCTTAATGCATGATCAACCGATCATGTTGGAATTCAAATTAATTTTCAGCTTTAAAAAGGGATCCATGGACTTAACTTAGGAGTATTGTTCTTAAAGCCTTTATACTTTCCCC